GCACTTCGAGAGGGCGGTCTCGTACCTTGCTGAGCCGCTTCCGCTTTCCGCCCTTGACAAAGGCGACGGAGTTATGGGCCTGTGCCGGCGAGCGGGCAGGCGAGGGGTGTGTCTCGACGGGGCTCATAGAACCGCTGGGATCGATGGGTAGGAGTGATATTTGACCGCCATGAGAGTGGGGGTCCATGACACGCTTGCTTGCAGTGGTTGTGGCAGCTCCTGGTGGCGGGAGGTCAATACAAAGGACAAGGGACGTGGCGGCGGGTGAATCGCGAAATAAGGTAGATAGGGTGAAGAGAGGGATGGGTGGGCTCGCTTCGTCACGGTGCCGGCGGTACGCAGAGGGTGAAGGGGCGTGGCTGTGGTGGTTCCAGGACAAGTCCGGGGAAGGTAGACGCTGCATCGGCGAGCGTTACATACAGGGGGAATCTGAAAGGGCGAAACGGATCTGCCGTGGCCACAAAAGGAGATGGGGGGACCAACCTAACTGTCATCCTACTCTCACGGGCGCCTGGGAACCGCGCGCGTGCGAGAGGAACGGAGAGTCGCGGCAGATGCGGGCTGCGGCTGCGAGACGGGCAGGCGAGGACGAACAGGGAGCGATTTCGCGCTGGCTGGCCGCCACGGCCGCTGTTGGGAGGTGGCTGAGGTGCCTGCGACCACGGCCGGCGGCGGCGGGCAGCCCGCCGCGGCAGCATCCCGCCGGCAGAACTGCTTGCCGCCGCTACCGCCGGCACCGTCCTCGGCCAAGCCGATCGTGCCCGGATCACTTGTGGGCGACTCTGGCAGGCTCTCGCCCGGCCATCTGGCCAGACCGCCGTCGCCGTCGCATCCGCAGGCGCGCCCCCTTCGGTGCCGCAAGCCGCTGCCAGTGCGGCCTCCCACAGCCTGGTGACTGCCCACGACAGCGCAGAAGCCGCGAACCGACACCGAAGCAGCTGCAGCTATCTCAGCGCCGCACCCAACATCGACGCATCCGGTTAGATTGTGCCGTACATCCCCTTTTACAGGCCCGTCCAATGGATGTCATCCCGTTCATTTGGTCAGGGGCAAGTCCTTTATTGAGGAACAGACGCAAAAAAATTGCGCAATTGCGCATGCGCTCATCACACCGAGTTCAACGGACTGTCATGTCGCGGGTGTCATTAATTGCTACAGGGCCAACAATACACAGCGAGTAGCAAAGCATGGTTTTATCGGAAGATGCGAGGAGCTTAGTCGAAGAGACCGAAGCCCATGTCGTCGTCGGACTCCTCCTGTATGAGACGTCAGCGGACGAAACAAGTCTGGCACAACATGCATTGCTGACCTTCTCTTCCTCCTTCTTCTCCTCCTTGGCCTCCTCAGCAGGGGCAGCTGCGGCACCGCCAGCAGCAGCACCGCTAGACACGCCGACCGCACCACCAGAAGGAACCTATGACACGAGAATAATTTTAATAACATTGTGCATGGCTAACAGCGAAGTGTCACGTACGGAAGAGAGCTTCGACGAGCCCAGAGCAATCAGCTGTATGAGGGAAGGGAAAAACATGAGCAAGACACAACTCGAGCCTCACCAAAAAGCACGCACCTCGTTGATGTCCTTGCCCTCGAGCTCAGAGATGAGCTTCTCAAGGCGATCGTCTTCAGCCTCGATGCCAACGGCACCGAGAACCTTCTTGACATCGGCGGCAGAAGGGGAGGCATTCCCGCCGATCTGGAGGAGGAGGTAGGCAGCGACGTGACGCATCTACACACGAACGCACGCGTCCTCAGCACTTCATTCCGCCCGCCCGAGGAGGGTCACGTACTGTGTTGTTTTAGTGGGGGGTGCGGTAGCCACAAATCACTGCAGCCCTCGCAGTCAGCGTCGTTCTGCGCAGCAAAGCCGACCCGCACTCACGTTTAATCCTCGAGGGAAGACCTGTGGATTCTATCCGACGATGGTGAGTAGAGACGATGCCCGACGCCCGCCTCACCGGGTGGGCGGCACGCGGTGGCTGGGAACTGTACAGCTGCGTTCCCACGCTCTCGCAGCCACCGCCCGTTCAGACTCCGCCGCGCAAGGCTCACCATACCGTCCCCGCCGCCGCAAGACCCGTTCACGACACACGCAAGATGGTGAGTGCTGCTGGCGCGGTGCGTTAGATTATGTGAGGAGAGATGCTGACGGTGTGATCTTGCGCTGTAGGCTGATTCCGGCGTTACCGACCCCGCTCTCGCTGCTGAGCTTAAGAAGAAGAGGACGTTCCGCACGTTCTCGTACCGTGGGGTTGAGCTCGACAAGCTCTTGGACCTCAGCAACGAGGAGGTGCGTTGCCGTAGCTCTTACAGTTTTCCAACATTCCACTGACTTAGTGCTGTCTAATAGCTCGTTGAGGTACGATAAGCTTACGGGAGCCCATCCAGCCCTACTTGGTCTCACGCGCCTCCCCACCTACAGATCGTACATGCCCGTGCCCGGCGCCGGTTCCAGCGCGGCCTGAAGCGCAAGCCTATGGGCCTCATCAAGAAGCTCCGCAAGGCGAAGAAGGAGGCGCCTCCGAACGAGAAGCCCGCGGTCGTCAAGACCCACCTCCGTAACATGATCATCGTCCCCGAGATGATCGGCAGCGTCGTCGGCATCTACAACGGCAAGGTGCAAGAGGCTGCAGTTCTCTAGACGAGCTGGGTGCTGAGGGCGGTTATTTGCGAATAGGTCTTCAACTCGGTGGAGATCAAGCCCGAGATGACTGGCCACTACCTCGCCGAATTCTCGTGCTCGTACCGGCCCGTCAAGCACGGTCGCCCTGGTGTACGTGTCCCCTTTCTCCCCCGACCGTCCAGCACATCTGACTTGTGCGTGTGCAGATTGGTGCGACGCACTGTAAGTACGCTCCCAGCGCTCCCACGATCGTCGAATTGACCGCATGCCCCACCGCGCCTCATAGCATCTCGTTTGTAAGTCTCCGCTGGCGTGCTCGGTCTGTCCACACGATGCTGACAATGTTATTAGCATTCCTCTCAAGTAGATTGGGTGGAGGGCCGCTTTCGTCTATGTTTGCTTTGCGATCATCATGTGCTATACTACCAAAAGTACCACGTAACATGCACCCATATGCCATGCATGCTCAGCGTATCGTGCACATCTCGGATAGTGTCGTGTCGATGTCGGATGTGATCAAATGCTGTCGGAGTGTCGCGGTGCACCAGGCAATGAGTACAGAGTACTATGTACAAGGCTTATGGCATGCAGTTGCGTCCGTGCGCAATCTGATAATCCGGCACTCTAGCACTGCGTATGTACATAGCTGAAGCCAGCTCAAAGTTGATTCAAACGGTTGACCTGAGTAGATTTTAGGACTGATCGTTGTGTCTGATGGTAGCGCGTCCGACGTCTTTTTGTCCACAACGTCGAGATGAGTGTGGTACTGCTACTAGTAGTCATCAAGTACCGGAACAATGTTTGAGACCGCTATGCCCGTATGCGCTGGGCGCTATGCCCGTATGCGCTGGGCCACGCCCGGGTCACCTGTTGAGGGTACCGCATGCAAGATGAGCGGCCTGTCGTGACGGGTTGCGCGCGGTTTGTTGCCAGGGTACGTCGGGACTCGGATGAGGGTGATAGAAAGGATGTCCGGTACAATACACGCAGCGACTCGCGACTTGCTGGCGACACGCCGTTCAGGCGAAACAGGGCTGCCAGTGCCAACAGTCTGAGACTAGTTGTAGTACGCGATCACAACGCGATCAGGTGATTTTGGGTTCCTTCTCGCTCAGTGGCATGGCGCGGCAGGATGTCAGGATGTAGTAAGTAGCTCAAATGTATACCTACTTGGCATTTGCTAGCAACTTGAACTTCGCTTCCTGTCAGCGTATATATACTACCAGAAGACCTCTTCGCTCAGGCTCGATGCCAATCTGTGACGACGCACGAATATGTTGCCAGCAGCCGCTCGGGAGCCACGGTAAGTTCATATTGCTAGCGCTGTAGCGTCGCCGTTCTCTCCTCGCCTCCACTCTACAGGACCGCCCATCCCCGTCAATCTTGAAACTTGGCTGTATAACAACCACCCGCATACGTACGAGTATTCACTCTGAAACTTTGACAACTCAGGACCGCAGCCTGAGCATGCTACCCTACGCGCCGTCATATGTCATTCCGCTCGACCTTTTGGACGAGATATTCCAGCTACTTTCTCCGCCAGTGAACGCCGAAGTCCAACATCTTGGGAAGCATCATGAGAGTGATGAACATTGCTCTGCGCGGGTGGCCCTCGCTAGGTGTGCACGAGCCTGTCACGCATTCCACGAGCCGGCAGTGAGGGTCCTGTGGAGGGAAATGCAGTTGGGCGATATCTGCAACGCTGTCCTGCGAAGTCTCAGTATCGGCTACGTCAAGCGGCCGGCGAGGATAGTGCTCACTGGGATGTGGGGAGGAGACGCATCAGACGATGATAAGTACAAATGAAGACATGGCATCGGGTATCGATCCACTCGAGTATCCCTATACCTACGTGAGTACTGTTTCTACGAATCAGTGTTATTACTAAGCAACGTGAAAAGAACTATCTACCAGGACCAATATCCGCGAAGGAATGGTCGCGCTTCGAGCATTACGCCGCGTTCGTTCGAGTCCTCCACTACTCGAATGCGACGACCATCGAACCCTCCGTGTTCACCTTCCTTCAGCAGCACGCATGCGGCAAACCACTCTTTCCCAGTCTGCGCAAACTCACTTGGGCGCATGCCACACCCGAGTTGCTGTCGATAATATCACCTTCAATTCGCATCCTGCGCCTCCCTTATGTCAACAAATGGGACGATGATGAATATGGATACCGCATGCGCCGACACGCTCTCAAACAGCTCCTCCCTCCCATACTGCGGCGTCTGCCTGAGCTCGAAGAGCTCGAGCTACTACCGTTCGGACACGAGGCCATGTGGTACGCACTCAAGTCGCTACACGATGGCTGCTTCCTCAGTCGCAATATCCACACTCTCCACATCTCCGAGTCGCACCGTGCCCTTGCGAAGGCGGGCCTTGCCATAGTGTCGACGATCAAAGGGTTAGTCGAGCTCAAGGTATCCTTGGTCGACGGAGAGGCTGTGGCTGTCAATTACGCCTGGGACATGTCGTCCATCCGCACCTTTGCGACTCTGAGACGTTTGCGGCTCGGAGGACGGCCGACAGGCGTGGCGGCTTCGCTCGATGCAATCAATGCCCCCAATGTCGACGAGGTGGAGCTGAGTTGCCACCGTGGTCAGGGAGACGAGACGGAAGCAGAGGATGCAGATGCCCTCTACGCAACCTTCGGCCTGCTATGTCGTCGGAATGCGATGACCCTACGGAGTTTCAAATTCCACTTTCGCAATCCGACTGTGTGTTTGTTTCCTTCGCATTGGGGGGCAACGAATCCATTTGGTTTCGCCAATGCCGCGAGTCCCCTTCTCGAGCTTTGCTGCCTTCAGGACGTCGAGCTACTCTTGTACAGTGGCATGTCCCCCGGACATCATAACTGCCGCCATGTGAATGCCGCCGCCTTGTTGTTAGCCTGGCCCACACTACGGACGCTCAGCTTGCCAGGTGTATCGCTCACTCCGGAGGCGCTTCAAGCAATCGCGCGCATGGACCACGGGCTCCAGAGCTTGACAGTGCAGATGTTGTCGCAACATTTTCTCGACGACCGCCCTGGGCTTCCTGCCACTCCGCCCTCCTGTGCCGCAGATCCTGACGCTCGAACTCCTGCACTCCGGGAGCTTCGTGTCAACGAAACCTCGTATTATTACGCGCTGGACATCGTCAAACTTGCCTGCTTCCTGGATCCGCTCTTCCCCCTGCTTGAGCGGTGTTCAGTGCCGAGTTGCCCTGAACGTGACCATAGTGCCTATCATGGGATAAATGCATGGTATACGATGTTGGAGGAAGAGAGCCGAGTGAAGACGTATATTGATGTTATGAAGGAAGTGGAGAAGTTGCGACTCGCACGACAAAACAGCACGTACCATTCACTGGCGAGCTGATTGATGTCAGGCTGACTACGTTTTTTCGCAGCAAAACCCGTGAACTCAGAATCTTCTTGCTTCGCCGATGTTACCGTCGCCGACATTCCCGGCCCATTCTATCATCCATGTGTACTAAGCCTGTAGGTTCACGCAAGGGATACGGACATGAAGGCCGCAGTGGTTGAATAACAGCGGCGAACAGCTGACTCGGACATGTAGTAGTAGTCGACGTCGCAGCTAATGTTCGGACTCGGACTCCGTTTGACATTCGGCTATAGGAAGCAGGAAATGGTGTTGAATCTTGGTTGAATCCGTCGACAGTCGTCGTCGTTAAGACGAGCATCATCGAGTCCGGCGATTATGGTCTATTAATGCGATACATACTCACTTACGTTACGCTGAGTCGGCCGGTGGCTAAACGGAGAAGTACTAGCTCTTCGTGAAGTTCTTCCCCCCGTCGAACTCAGTCTGCCTCAGGCTCCTCCTCAAAGTTACGTAAGGTTACGTTCAAGCGCTGAGCGCTGAGCGCTTCAGTCACATCGATATTATATTGGCTCAGACCGCGTTTCATACACTGGAAGAGTCGCAGTCTATGACTCGGACTACTCTCCCTCGGACCTACAACTTGAACCCATACCACCATGAATTACTCCCTCCAGAGATCTGGATGTACATCACTGATTACTGCACCAAGACCTCCCAGCGGTCCTGCTTATCGCTCTCCAGGATATTCCACAGCCGCACAATACCAGCCTTGTTCCGCGAGATCATAGTCTGCTTCGGTGCTTGGGAATCCTGGATTGCTCCGGGGAAGCGGGACGAAGAGCTGGAAGAAACGCGCTCGTCGAGGGCGTTTGG